TACATCCCTCGATGCCGCGGACACACGGTCTGACATGGCACCGCGTGCGGAAGACGAATTTGGGCTCTGCCCGTGTGCGCTGTCGGAACCAACGAGGCTTGGAGACTTCGGTGTCATTGACACAGGGCTCATTGAGCACGGAAGTCGTTTCGTTCAAGCGCAATTTCTAACGGACACGCAAGCCTCGTTGAGTCGATAATCGATTGGAACTGAAAATATATTCAATCTTAATGGAGGTTAGTGTTGCGGGGTTACACATACCCTGGTAACAGGTGTGTGTGTCACACCAGATTGGCATGGTGTGACCACACCCAAACAAGAATACGGTACGGGGCTGGATAGCCAGTAGTTATACATGAATTTAGATTTTACTATACATATTTAAGAAAATTTATGCATTTAAAATTAGGCGGCTTTGCCGCAGATAAAAATAAATTAAGTATGTTTTGGATTTAAAACGAAGCATTAACTAGCCTTGGGTAAGGCTATAGTTACTGTTGGTGTAAGCAGATTGCGATCCGCCAAACTCGTACTTGTTCTGAGTATAGATCGAGTGGTCGGTGACCTAACTTACGCTTCCTCAAAGCGCAAAGCTACGGCAGTCCCGCTGCATTTTAGCTCGATACAAGCTTTCGCCGGAGGTACTCACAGCAACAAAGACTACCCCGGCCACTCTAGTCATGGGTAAACAATCTTTTATTGCCTCTTAGCCATTTATTTTTACGGCTTCGTGTGCTAGGCCTGACCCATTATAGTGCTGACTCAGGAAACGATCGTATCGTGTCAAAGATGAGCGACACTATATCCTTTAAGAGCCCTTTACCCGCCAATATATTGCTTATCTAGCTCCAACTAGGAATATTGCAACAATCAGTCGTTCCTATTCTCCGCTGGCCTTAATACAGAATACAACACTTGCAGCTGCTTTTGACCGCTCTGTCAGAAAATGTCCGGGGGTACGACGTACACCCACTCTTCGTGTCTCAACAGAAATACACATTGGAATATACAGTCTCGCTTTGCCGTCTTATCATTTGCAGCTTTTGCATTTCGATCTTAGCTCGAGGTACTGTGCAATATCATTGCTATCAATTGCGGACAATCCCATATCCTGTATTAAAGCAATCCCCAGCTTTGTCTGCGGCATTAGCGCTACTGTTTCTTGACAGAGTTGAGTTTGTGATTTGCTAAGAGTGAAGTGCGTCCTGACCTTTTTCAACTATAGTCGGTCAATGGCTTGAAGTATTCCTAAGCCGCCATACCAAGAATGAAGTCGTTGCTTAGGTCCATGTCCAGGACTAAACAACTTCTCACGCTGTCGAAATCCTTCAAACTTTGCTGGTATGGTTAACAAAAGCTTCGACGGATCTACTAGTGTCTTCGTCGTAATATGCATGATTAATGTACCGCATTCATCATCTTTAAGGCTGCCTACTGTTTTTGACAGCGGTCTTTCGAACGTAATTGCTTGACACTCTTTCATATATTGGGAATTTCTTGGTTTCATAGAAATCACAATGCTGACATCAACAATTACTATCCCTGGCTGTAAGCCCTGCCTTTCTTCAATAAAGTCATGTTTTAGATGGGTCTTATCGTCGACGACCTTCTTGAGGTTCGAAAGCACCCAGTACATTACCAGCTGGCTGCCCAGCGTCAACAAAGACTTGCTTTTTTTCATTGAAAAATTCGTTAGTCTTCGTACTTCTCAGCCGGGAGCGAAGGCACACAAGTCGCAGATGTTACGTATTACTGCAGATGAAAGATCTGTGGATACCGAGGGGCTTCTCAACAGCTAAGATGTCTTTCTCAGCATGAGTAAGGTCCATCGTCTCTGGCGCGCTCGTATACATTATACTCTTAGCACCCCACACAGCCTTTGCAACATGGAAGTTGTGCTTCATATCAAGTGCGACGTCCACCGCTTCTTTTTAAAGTTAGCATGGGCGCAGAAAGACATGCTGCGAGCCACTCCCGCATCAAGAACTTCCACGAAATGCCGCCCATTCCGCCTTTTAGAGAGGGTCAGACGCATTGAGGCGATTAAATATCTTAGCTCCTGAACATACCCCACCAGTTCATACCTTACTTTACGGGTAATCAAGAATTAGTACACACACAGTACGACTGATTACGCAGTGCAAACCCCCGTGACTTCCGTTGCTTCAAATCATCCCAGGTTGGAAATGCGTCTTTTATCATGTAAGTGCTCATTGGAGCGCAAGACTTTCCATTTAAAAATTGCTAGCGTGTTGCGCTATGCCTCTGCTTGGTACAAAGCCGAATTTTTGACCATTTAAACTTCCCTCATATATAAGATAATGTTTCCTCCGTCTTTAAAGTTCTGAATGCCGAATATCAGCAGTCATACGGTGGGACTCATCTGTTTGTTCACAGCGTCAACTTGTGGCGTTCCTGAACGCGCCTTACCAGCTATTCTCAAAGGTAGTAATCACCTACAGGCAAGCAATTTATATTTCCGCTTCTTGGCCTCCAACTTTTAATTCAATCGGATCTCATAACAGACAAAGCGTATTTTACCGTTTTTCTTGTCATGTATGTAGGTATTCGACCGGGTCATGTTCGATTCTAGCAAGGTGATACAGTCTTTCCGTGATTCGATCGATGGATTGACTACAATTGCTTTCAAATACGACGGGCCGCCATTTGCTATGGAAAGTGGAAGCTACGCCTCACGAAAATCGCATAACAAATGCACAGCGGTTGGGTTTGTCTACTACATAAAGGATTGGAATTGTGTGCTACTTAAGTAGCTAATTCACTTAGTTCACTTTGCTGTTTTAAGAGATCATACATATACTTG